AGGGCCTCAACCACCATGCTACCAGCTGGCCCCTAGAAGAATTTTTTTAAGAATTGTTTTATTTAACATTATTATTATTTTTTATTTGACCAGAGAAAGAGAGAGAGAGTGTGCAGGTTGCCAGGTCTGAGTCCTGAATGGCCATCATCCATTGGGAGTCCAGCATCTTTGACCACCATGCCGCCTGTCCATTACCCATTATTTATCTATGCCAGTAGTCTTTGTCTTGAACACTTCTTTTTCTAACTTTAATATATCCACTCTGGCTCTTTTACAATGGGTGATTTGATCTTTTCTCTCAATCTGTCTCGAGCCTCGTGTTTAAAGTGAAACTCTTACAAGTGATGGATTTACTATTTGTCATATTTGTCTTTTTTTTTTTTCTTTGAAGAAACTTTTGCTATAGGGTTCATGTGCTCGACAGAGAGACAGAGAGACACAGAGTCAGAAGGTGAGAAAAATCACCTCCCAGGAGGGATGGCCATGCCACAGTCCCTTTTCCTCTACTCCCCTCTCAGGATTGTGAGCACACAATGCACACACACCCGACATGAGTTTTAAGCTTCTGGCTCCAGGACTTGAACCATGGTCGGCCACATGGCAGTCCAGAGTTTTAACCAGTACACCACATGCTGGCCCCCCATATTTGCCTTTTAAGTGGAGTGGCAAAGACCATGTCCACGGAATGTGATTGTTGCGGTGGCTGGGCTTGAACCCGCCACCTTGCTGTTTGTACCGTCTGTGTACTCATCCCTTTGCTCTCCTTTCCTGCCCTTTTGGAGATGTCTTCAGTATTCCATTTATCTCCTTTATTGAGGTTGTAACAGTTGTTTCTCTAGTGCTACAGTGTGTATGCTTAAGTTAGCACAATCTCCTCTGGAATTTCATTCCACTTTATATAATACAAACAATATCATTTCATTTTATTTAACACTAGATTCAGGCCAGCTGGTGGCATGGTGGTTCGGCTGACTGGATCCTACATGGATGACTGTGCAGTTCGAGTCCTAGACCCAGTAACTTATAAAACATGCCAGCATGTTTGTGTGAGTGCCCCAAATCCAAAGAGGATAATGGAGAAGGGATTGTGGTGTGGCCATCCCCCCGGGGGATGCTAATTCACTTTCCTTCTCTCTTCCTACCTGGCAAGCATACTTGACCTGTAGCAAATTAAAAGACAAATAAATAAATAAAAAGTTAGCTTTAATAGTATAATTTCATTGGGACCAGTAGTTGGTGTAATGGCTACGTCACTAGACTCCCATGTAGCTGACCGCGGTTCGAGTCCCGGACCCAGTGGCTTAAACTCACACTGGATGCATGTGCGTGCGTGCCCAAGATCCCGAAAGGAGAATGGAGGAGAAGGGATTGCGGTGTGGCCATCCCCCCTGGGGAGTGATTTCTCACTTTCTGTCTCTCTGTCTCTCTCTCTCTATTTCTGGCGAGCACACGTGCCCTATAGCAAAATTTCTCTCCAAAAAAAAAAGTATAATTTCATTTACTCCATACTCTTCTTAATGCTATTTTTTTGATATATTTTATTTTATATATGTAATGGATTTAAGAATATTTGTTATTGTTTTCTGTTTGAATAGTAAATAGTCTGAGGAAATGAGAAACATAATTAATACTCAACGACAGGCTTACTGTGTGTGACTCTTCGCGCCTTTTGCAGAGTCAGGTGACAAACGGTGTTATTCCGCTTCGGGTTCATTCATTTCCCTGCGTTTTCCCGCGGCAGGACACCACCACTGCTTGAGAGGCCTGTAGTGTCTGCTCACTGCAGAATTTGTCTTGACGTCTTTGTCTTCAGAGTTCTCGCGTTTAAAGAAAAATATGAATTTTAGTCAGCCAGTGTTTGTAAGTCTGTTTTTGGGAGGAATAAAAGTCCCTCTAGTCAGCAGTTGGACCTCGTTGCCTAGGCTTCGATCCTTTCTAGGCTCTTTACCTGCTTCACCTCCGTGCTTTCACCTCCATTCAGCCTGGGGATGCCCCGGAGTAGCGCTTGAGGCATACACCTGCTGAGAATGGAGTCTCAGCTCCAGCTGTCTGGAAAGGTCCTCATTTCATTTGTATTGTTAAATGAATTTTCAGTGGGTCTAGATTTCTAAACGGGAGACATCTTAGGTAAGTACTCTAAAGCTTGGTTTCTGTTGGAAAGTCTGTTTTTTAATGTTCTTCTGAAAACAATGTGTCTTTTTCCCACAGGTTCCTTTTTTTTTTCTTCTTAGAGGTTTTTGCTATAGGGCACGTGCGCTCGCCAGACAGAGAGAGACAGAGAGACAGAAAGCAAGAAAGCAAGAAATCACCCCCCAGGGAGGATGGCCACGCCGCAATCCCTTCTCCTCCATTCTCCTCTCGGGATCTTGGGCATGCACGCACACGCACCCGGCCCGGGACGCAAACTACGGTCGACTACGTGGGAGTCCAGCAAGCGACATAGTCATTACGCTAACTGCTGGTCCCCACCCACCAGTTCCTTTTAAGAGTTCCTTTTTATATTTTATTTTTAGCAGTTTGGTTCTAACATGCCTTGGTGAAGTCATCTTTGTTTTTCTTATATGGTAGTGTTAAGAAGTGCTTGAATCCAGGAGTTCATTTATCAGATTTGGAAAATTTTTAACCATTTAAAAAACATTGTTTTTGTGGACATGTTCTTCTCCCTCTTCCACTCTGGGATTTTCGTTCACGTCCTCTATCTTTCTTACATCCTGATTTTCCCTATTTTATCTGTCTCCGAGTTTCAATTTGAATATTTTCAACTGATCCATTTTCAGTTCTACCTGTCTGGGTTTTTGCTGTGTTCACTTGCTATTAAATCCAACAAGTTCTTAATTTCAGATATTGATATTTTGTAATTCGTCTAATTTTTTTACTAAAGACTAGTGATCTGTTCACATAATACATCTTTGTATACTTTTCTTGTACCGTCTCCTGTTCCTTGATCACACGTCATTTCAGTTTTGGTTTGCCAACAATGGGGATATCTCTAAGTCTACCCAGTGACTGCTTTTTCTTTTAAATTTTTGCCAGAGGCTCTACATGTTTGGCAGAGAGAGACAGGGAGAGAGAGAGGGAAAGGAGAAGTGAAGAAGTACCCCGAGCGGAGATGGTCACCCCGCTCTCCCTTCTCCACTTCTCCTTCCAGTGACTTCAATCTCTTGATTATTGGTCATTTTTTCCTACTTCTTTGCAATTGTATTTTATTTATATTTTATGCTGGACACTGTGTTGGGTCATCAGAAAAGTCATGATACATTTTTGCGTAGAAAAACATAGAAGAATTGGTCATGACTTTTCTGACGACCCGGTAGGTGGTGTGTTACGGAGGCGTGTGAACATACTACACAGCTTTGATTTGGCAGGCAGTTAAATTACTGGTGATCACCCTGGTCCTAGAGAAGTTGTAGGCCTGGAAAGGACAGGCCCGAGTCTCTTTTGCCCTAACTCCCAGAGCACAGCCTTAGTCTCAGGGTAACAGCTATGCTATTGCCTTTATTCCTGGAGTTTGGCTTTTCTGGACTTTGACCTGAATGCGCGGATTCAAGTGATGTCTATTCCAGTGGGTGCAAACCCGGATCATCCCTAGAACTGTACAAGCTTCCTAATTTCTCGTCAGTGCTCAGACTCCCAGTTGCTTTTCTCTGCGAGCCTCCAGGAGTCCCACCTTAACTTGTGGGGTGGGCCAAGCATGGGACCTTCCCATGAAGACTTCTGGTGTTCCTTCTCTAAGCTTCCCCTTCCTGACAGCCCTTCCCATCAAATCCTGACCACTCTTGATCCCTAATGTCTAATCTTTGCCTCTCCCTTCCGAGGAGACCACCTCTTCTTTACTGTGGCCTGGAAAACGCCCACAGCAGGGTCAGCAGGTGGCATGGTGGTTGGGGTGCTGGGTCTCCCACATGGTCAACTGTGGTTTGAGTCCCAGACCTGGTGCCTTGAAACTCCTGCTAGGTACGTGTGCATGCGTGCTCAAAATTACAGCGGGTATGTGGAGGAGAAGGGATTGCAGCATGGCCATCCCCTCTGGGGAGTGATTTCTTGCTTTCTCTCTCTCTCTCTCTGTCTCTGTCTCTCTGGCAAGTGCACATTCCCTAAAGTAAAAAGAAAAGGAAGAGAAAGATCAAAGGAAACGTCCGTGGTAAGAACACCTGGGTCACTGGGACTGTGCTAATATGTTGACCCAGCGATTCTTAATTCAGATTAGCTACTTAGGTTTTCTCTCAGGATTTGCTTAGATCTTTTACTGAATTCCCACACTGACACGTTTTAGGGCAGAGCCCACGTTTTATCCAGTGTTAGTTGTTGAGTCTGCTGTAGGCCAGCTGCTTTTCCTGTGTCGTTTCTCCTTTAACCTCCACGACCAAGCACAGCGGAAGTAGTGAGAGCCAGGCCAGCGACAGTGAGCAGCACCCACGGCGGCTGGCTGTGTGGGACCCAGCTCTCCTCACTGCTACGTGACAAGGCCGGCTCTTGGTTTTAGAGAATTTCATGGGGACTTAAGAGAGGAGGGGAGCTTTCTTTTGATTTTAATAAAAATGGTTTCTTCTTGTGCGTATGACGTATTGGCCTATTTATGGCCAGGCACTGGAAGGGGCAGCTTTTTCCCATCGACGTGTGTTATTTCTGAACCCCTCTGGGTCTGACCCCTAGAAGGATATTGGTAGCTCCACGCACGTCCATCCGGAGGGTGGAAAGATGGCGGAGACCATCCGGTCAGGCCAGGAGCACCCATGCTCGGCTGACAGCTGCGTGTTCTTCAGACGTGCGTGTGCTCCTGCAGTGTTTCAGGCACTCGCCCTCGGACCCCGAGGGTCTGAGAGAAAGCATGGGGAGAGAGCTGGTTCTCTCACCGGGGAGATCAGACCAGCTAGCACCTGTGAGGTGCAGGGTGTTTCCACATGAGTCGGAGAGCCGGGGGCTGGGGTGTGCTCTGCAGTGGGGGCCACACAGGACCCGCGAGTCTCGCCTGATCTCTGACTGAGCGCCCTTCTTTGCAGTGTGGAGGCTTCCAGCATTGGATTCGTCATCGTCATCGACAGACGTAGGGACAAGTGGAGCTCCGTAAAGGCATCGTTGATGCGAATCGCTGTAAGTACTTGTTTCTGTGCTGTTACGAGTGTCATTCAGATCGTCCGTTGGGCTCTTTCCCAGCGACGTCCTGGGGGGAGTCTGGGGACAACTGACAAGCAGGTGCTGGTGTATCACGGCATCTCCTCTCTGCCACCCGAGGGTCACCCACAGGCAATTTCTGAGCATGCCAAAGGCCTCCTGTGCCTACCTCGCTGACTTCTGTGGTCACTGAAGAGGGGCTGACAGGGAGCACTGGCTGTCAGTGTCCCGGTCACAGCAGTTGCTAGATGAGCAGCCCGGCTTCCACAGCTCTCAGGGACGCGATCTGACATGTGTCACACACGGCAGCATCAGAGGGTCCCAGCCCCTCTTGCAGCCACAACTGGTACCCTGGCTTTCCATCCGTGGTCCACCTCCCAGCCCCTCGGTCGTGCTTCCTGGAAAGACTCTCCAACAAATGCCTGTGGCCAAGTCTCTGTCTGAGGGGGTGCTTCAGGGGACAGCCCAGTTGAAAGCAGTCTTTATTTCAATATCCAAATTACTTTTTCACATATTAGAATGACAGTAGCAAAATGACAAAATGACATTTAAATATCCTTATCAGAGGTATGTTCCCATTTGGCACTGGGTTATACAATGTCGGGTGGCCTTCCTTTTCCTTATTAATTTGATTCTGATCCCTCTCTGCCTCCTTTTAACAAGTAAGATGGACCCTCCTTCTGTAGGGACCTCTGACCTGTGAGCTCAGAGACACCTCAGGGTCAGCCACAGCAGCATTGTCACCTGAGCACAGGTTTGCTGGGCAGGTGGGCCTGGCGGGGAGTGTGGGGTACGGTAGGGCCGTCGTCATGTGCGTGTGAGCAGGGGGGAGGGGGTGTGAAGGCTCACGTACAGCCTCGGCAGCTCCCCTCAGATGGGACTGGAGCCTCCTCCAGCTAATACGTCCTGTCATGGCACAACAAAGCCTAAGCGTCTATAGTTCAGGGGCTCGGATTTCAGAGCTGAGGGCTGGGAGTGCTCCTTATTCTGGCTGTAGGGTTTCTCTTCAGCACACCTGTGATCGTGGGGGGGGTCCCCATGGCTGATCCAGGGGTCCAGCCTCTAGAGAGTTCTGGCTTCCCAGGGTCCATAGATAACATTGGACAATCTAATATTTGCACCTAGCTTGTCCCAGCATCATCCCATCATTTTGTGTGTAAAACATGCCATGGTCTGGCTGCCTGGCAGAACCTCTTCAGGTCCTCGTTGAAAGCGTAGATTCCTAGACTTCATCTCAGTCCTGATAAATCAGAACAGTTTGGTGTAGAAAGCAGATTTTAAAAAAATTATTTAACTTTATTTATTTTAATTTGACCAAAGAGGGACAGAGTGAGAGGGAGAGAGACAGAAAGTGAGAAAGCAGGCTGCCAGGACCAGGACTTGAATTGCGGTCAGCCATGTGGGAGTCCAGTGCCCTTAACTACCATGCCACCTGCTGGCCCCCATTTTATTTATTTTTTTTAAGAGAGAGATTTTTGCTAATAGGCACATGCACTCAGCAGAGAGACAGAAAGACAGAAAGCAAGAAATCATCCCTTAGGGAGGATGACCACATTGCAGTCCCTTCTCCATTCTCCTCTCAGGATTTGGGGCATGCAGAATTCCTCCAGGAATCCATCCTAAGAAAACGTTCTAAAATTTGGATCAAGATGTTCATTTTAGTGTTATTTTATTTTATTTTTTTTAGAGGTTTTTGCTATAGGGCGCG